CGACCATGAACTCCTCTGTATACCAAAGTATTATTGAGTCAAATGTGAGGCCATCTGTCCGACAGCTAAAGTTTGGCCAAAACTGGGTCATGCAAGAGGACAAGGATCCCAAGAACACAACTAAATCTACAGCAGAATGGCTGCAAAAGAAAAGAATCAAGGTGTTGCAATGGGCCAGTTGAAGTCCAGACCTGAGCCTGATAGAAATGCTGTGGTGGGACCGTAAGAGAGCTGTGCATAATCAAATGCCTGCAAATCACAATGAACCGAAGCAACCTTCTAAAGAAGAGCGGGCCAAAATTCCTCCACGGCGATGTGCGAGACTAATAAAATCATACGGAACACAATTAGTTCAAGTTATTGCTGCTAAAGGTGGTTCTACAAGCTATTGAGTCATGGGTGTACTTAGTCTGTCACACACGGCTTCTCCATTTTGGCTTCATTTTTGTTAAAAAAAAAATTACATGGTGGAATCTGTTATGTGTTGTTTCACACCTGAGGTTAGATTTAAATAATTTTAGAATCTGGTAAGAACCAAATGATTTCTTAATCCTGATACGTAAAATCGTAGAACTGAAAGAGGGTGTACTTTCTTTTTCACGACTAATACAGCAACTTCTGTCTGGAAAAATATCTACAGAGAATGCGTTTAATTTTCATGACATTAATACTTTTCACAAGTATATCATGCAACAGTTTGAATGAATGTGGGAGTTTATTCTTTAAATAAACAGAAATATTTATAAGTACTCTATCACACTGATACTAAGGGGTTTAGCCTAATATTACCTTTCACCTCAGACCCTCCAATTTACTTATGTAAATTTTTCCATTATCATCCACCTTGCCCCTAAAAGTTATGGGAATAATCAATATGGACACAGCATGAGCTGGAACCAGGGAATGAAGCCAGGTGTTGCAAGAGGAACATTCTGGAACAGTAGCGCATTTTGACTTGCAATGAGAGGCATGCAAAGTCAGCATTTTCCCACTCTTTTCAGGTGCTGCAAATTTCCAACCGCTTCTTTAATGATGGACACTGGAGAACTCACTGGAGAACTCACTGGAGAACTCACTGATATCATTTTGGACCAAATACAGGCTCTGATATGGTGTCTCTTCCACTTATTTGGTTGACCTGAAGATGGTCTGATCTTTATAAAAACATGACATTAAGCAACAGCAGAACAAGCAGAAGAAAAGCAAAATAAGTACATGTAGGTAATAGCAGTTATGCTGTTTCGCATCAAACAAAAGCTAAATGCTTAAGGGAATCATGGAACGATAAAGAGAAAAATCAGGAAATGAGTATTTAAAATGATGCAAAATTAATAAACAAAGGTAAATTAATATTGGTCGATAGCATCCTCCTGGTGACTGTGAAGCAATAATACTGACGTCCATCTTGGACACTGATACATAATAAATGTACTGGGCTCATTCTTCACACTTTTCTTTAATGGATAATGGACCAATAAAACATGAGAAACATTTACAAATCAATTTATAGATTAACTGTGCATTTGGTATACCATTTGGAAACACGACAATATATCATGCCATGTCATGTCTCAATTCAGCCACCAGAGGGGGCAAGGGAACAGACACAAGTTCCAGTTCACCTGTTTTTTTAGATGGTTATCTAATTGTTAGTGAGTGAATGTATCTGTGTCTCGTTAATGACCCTTTGGGGTATGTTTTGACTGAGTGACTGAATGGGTTTCTTGAGGTTTGGGCTTATTTGTTTTGTACTTGAATTACATCTAATGTGTATTCAAGTGATTTTGTTTTTTTTTTTCTGAGCAATGCTGCAGTTTGGTTAACGTCTAATGTGGGTTGCTCAGGTTACACATTAAGCAAGCTCTCACTGTTACTCTCACTGTTACCTTATACTCACACCCACTACGGCCCACATATGTCACAAAAATTACAAGCCACCATGTCTCAAAGAACCTCACAACAGTACTGGTCCAAAACCGATGTATTTCTAAGCAGGATACAAATATTTAGGCAACTTTTTTCCATACGCAATTTTCCTTTAGATTTGTAACTTAAGACACCGACCGCAATCTTTCAGGAAACGGGAGGAAAAGAGAGCAGTTAGGAAACGGAGCTGAATAATGTGTGCTGCTCAGCAAATAAAACACTGCAGAAATCAAGAAATCCACAGGGTCAACAGCTTTCGCAAGTCTGCATGATTTAAAAACTCAACGAGCGGCAGCTGGCCACTGGCCATCTCTGAGACGCAGCGCTCATTTCAGGGAGAGAGATGGGGGTCCGTGCCAGAGAGGCACACTATCTTACATACTTTATGAAGTCACCAAAGAGACAGATGCTGATCACAATGAAACATCTGAAAAAACAGCTACTTCTGTGTCACTCTGCAGGCACGTTTTATATTTATATCCACCTCTCACAAGCCATACCGTGTTTGCAGGGCTCCACGATCATTTTGCAAACTTAAAAAAAAATTCTGGGGTGTTTCTTCTCATATTCTACAAAATCCTACTACTGGAACATGTGCGTGTCCAGACAAAGTTGTATGTTCATATCTTGTCTTATCTTCTATCTGGCATTCAGTGTTATCATGCTGCAGACCTTAATTCAGCCGTGCTCCTTGACCCGCTGCTCAGACAGCTGAGATGTTTACCACGACACCTGCCTTGCCAACCGCCTAAACCCACTGGAGAGTCCAGAGGCACATGAGAAACACCATGTCATTGTGTGTGCAGCTTACAAATCAGACCTGCCTGGGGGCCACTTTACTGTATTGGGGCGGCTTGATATCAAACAAAAGCGAGATATGAAGCCAAGCGTCTGGCTGCAGTAGAAGAGTAGAGTTCAGCACTGACCAGAGGAGGATGTCCTCCCGATAAGGCGTTACCTACTGGTGCATTGTCCAGCTGTCAGATACCGGGCTCCAGGAAGTGACCCGGTTGCCATAACTCACGATGGATTGTCTGCAGTTGGTCTATATGTAAAGCCAAGTCTCAACGGTGGCAGAAATGAGTCCATCAAGGACTTGACAGGCCTAGGGATAGCTAACATAACACGCCCCTTCTCCGTACATCACAATCACAAACAAGAGTTTAATGACTTCACAAATTCCCCTTTACTGCCTGCTGGGCTTGATACCATCTGCCAATACATACGATTGACAGGAAGTGTTGTGACCAGAAAAGAATCTACCTCTGAACCAAACGGTGTCTGTTAAATCCACCCACTTTTCACAATGGCTGATCTGCTGTCACTCATGGAGATCTGAGGCCTATCCTGCAATGCTGAGAGGGCAAGGCAGGGTAAATACTGAACAGGATGCCAGTCCACTGCAAGACAACCAAACAGTTAGACAAAGCCCATCAAAAGCTTTTTCGTAGGTCATTCACAATGAATGACATTTTAATTGCTTGAAGGAAAAACTAATAGTAAATACAAAATATTCAGTACATTACATTTACTTAGCGGAGGCCATTCAGCCCATCAGCTCGTTTGGGGAGAACTTAACTAGCACTGGTCCACAAATTTTTGGAAGTTGTCTGCCAATCTGCCAATTCTGATGCATTTTGGTGTGCTGATTTCAAATATGAGAATAAAACAGGCTGATTGGCTACCGTTCAAAGGATCTTTAATCTTTTCAGTTATGGTATCATACACATTGTAGAATAACCATTGCTGACGTGATCTGTAGACTCTCTCCAAATCATGGGTACTGCAAATGCCATGGATTTTCTCTTCCTGTTCAGCCACTGACGAAGGTTAGTTGCACAACTGTTGCAGCAAATGTGTGGAGACCAAGACCAGAGCTGGGCTCCAACTTTGCACCCGAAGTAAAGATGATATGCTGTCTTTACCTCAGCAGGTAAAGAAACTGCGTTTCTGTGATTTGAAAGTAACTTCCCCACAAATATAGCAAAACTGATCAGCATTGTTCACGCATAAACAAGGCATCTTTGGTCACTCCGAAACATCGGCCCGTATATATAACGAGACTTACTGATCCAGTACCGTATCTTAAAAATTATAGCCAATCAACATTATTAGATATCATTTTCGTTATTAGCAACCCAAAGTTAGTGCAATCTGAGTAAATTTATTTAAGAAGCATTTTGACCAGTGTAATAGCTCAGAGTTGTTGAAATCTTATCTAGCTCTGATTTAAAGGAACCCAGGGTTTTAGCTTCCGCTACACTAACAGGAAGACCATTCCATACTCTAACTACACGCTGTGTAAAGAAGTGCTTCCTCAAATTCAGTTTAAAATGTCCTCCCGCTAATTTCCACTTATGGCCACGAGTTCTAGTATTTAAACTAATATTGAAGTAGCCATTTGGCTGAACAGCATCCAGACCCGTTAGAATCTTATATACCTGGATCATGTCCCCCCTTAATCTCCTTTCCTTTGCGCGAGGCTGAACAGATTCAGCTCAGCTAACCTCTCATCATAAGACATTCCTCTAAGACCAGGAATCATTCTTGTAGCCCTACGTTGAACCTTTCCCAAGGCAGCAATGTCCTTTTTAAGGTAAGGTGACCAAACCTGCACACAATATTCTAGGTGGGGTCTTACCAAGGAATTGTATAATCGCAGCATCACCTCCCTTGACTTAAACTCCACACACCTACAGATGTAACCCAACATCCTATTGGCCTTTTTTTATTGCTTCCCCGGTCAGTTGACGTTAAGGGTTCTGTGAAATGGTGTAATGATGAAATGATTACTCTGCCAGCCATGGAACAGCAATCAATAATCTTCTGGATATGGACACAGAGCCATAACTGGCTGAGCTACAAACCACCAGGAATCCAAACTTTGCAGGGCTTTATCTACTGTGGTTAAAAGGCATAAAAGTACAGAAGAGCTCCCCTGGCTTTCGGAGTCCACAGCTTATCACAAATGATAATGACAGTGTTACAGAGAAGGAAGCAGCGATGTGTGAATCGGGGACACGCCCTGGCTGGAATGCCGCCGGGTCACCTGGTCCCCAACCGCAGTCACTGACCTGTGACCCCCGGGCGCCTCGCTTGTGCTCCCACTCTGACTGGCACAGCGTCTGTGGGGGGGCAAAAACGAGAGAGGGAGACAAAGGATTAATACAAAGGGCCCAGGGAAACTGTCTGCGGGACAGGTCCCCCCCAAAAATGTATCAAATAAGGAAGAAGAAAGTGGGCTTTGTGGTTTCCCTTTGGTTAGGTTTGCAGTTCTACAGTCAGGACAGTTGGCACAGCACCCAGCTCCCTCTAACTACGTCCGGCTCTACAGAGAGCGAGCATCAGAGGAGACACCACAGCAGCCATGCCCTCACGGTGCCGACCACGGCCTGGGCAGGGAGGTTTCCAGCTGCACATCTTCCAGCTGCAATGCGGGCACCCCTTCAGGGAGACGAGAGGCAGGGAGATCTGGACCGTGGACTGCTTTCCCACAGTGAGCAGGAAATAAACAATACAAGTGTACTTTCGGGGGCGAGTCCTCCATGCTTAATAGCGTGTGGCCGTAAATCAGCGGTATCTCGCTTCCACACGGGACAGCCTTGCCACTCACCGGCTAGCTCTCCGAACGGCGACCTTCACCATTTGGCACGACTTGCCAGGCTTCAGTCCAAAAGTCACTTACGATAATCAAGGGGTCCACATTTTTTCCCAGACACAATCAGTGAAGGCCTGCGTGTCGTGTCTGAGAGCTCCATGCCGTTTGTTCTTGCAGGCTTTTGGTACTCAACACAGTTTTGGTAACCTCCTGAAGCATTATCACTACCGTGCAGAAAAGAGGGGGACAGATGACCTTCAGCTCTTAACTCTACCATTATTCTTAGAGTATTTAGGATGTTTTTAAACAGGCGAAGACACAAACACAGGTTCAAATGACACTCCATTATGAAATGTTCTTATGCTGCATTTCCGCAACATCACTCTTTACCAGCAGGGGGCAGGGACACACCTCAGCACCCCTAACCGACATGGCATTTTCCACCAACTCTAAACCTTTGGAGGGACAGCCAAGATACTGACATCCCACTAGGGCTGATGTCACAGTTGCGAGCTTTCAGAGCTCTTCCTGACCCATCTCACCACACCAAGTGGCACTGTTATCAGACAGTGGGTGAGGAAGAGAACAGAGGAATACCTCACACTGGAATCAAACACCAACTGGTGCTATTCCCCTGGACTGTCTCGCAGGGTGCTGGGTGTCTGGCTCACCTGCTGAGTGATGCACCTTGGGTAATCTGACAGTGCTGCTACTCTATTCTCTACTGTGGGCCCCCAGGGGCACCTCCAGCTAGCATGTTAAAAAGAAAGAGGCAAAATCTCTCATTATGAGAGCCCAGGCAGGGCAAGGCACTTTACCATTCAGCTAGGGGCTTAACCTCCATCACCCCAATAATGCCATGAGAATGAGAACATCAGCAAGGCGTATTAATTACTCTTCTTGAGTTTTGAGTGGGGTTTGAGAGGCCTGGCAGGAACAGAATCTGAGGTATGGATCCGAATTCTTTCAAAAGCACTGTGAATAAATTCTGCTACAAAGATGTGGATCCACTTGCCCTAGGAATCCTCATCTTGGTCCCATAAGTTGAAGTTACAACAGTAAAAGGTGAGCATAGTAAAACCTGTGAGTGAACTATATTTGGTGCAGTCAGAAAGGACAGTGTTGTTTTCCCTGGACTGCCCAGTCATTTGCTCCAGCTAGCTAAGCTGAACCCATGCCACACTCAGCAACTTGTACAGATTCAAGAGGTACTGGATGGATCACCTGGAAATGTATTAGTTAATAAATGTGTTTTTACCTACATTTTGTGAGTCCTTGTGATATACAGGTCTGAAAGTATACTTATTCATTTATTGGACATTCCACTTAGAGTGGAAACCGCTTATAGTGACCATGGTTATAGCGAATGGACCAAAAAGCTTGGGAAAGAATCATTCCTGTACAAATACTGTTAAAATAATCTGCTTATAATAATCAAGTAGTCTGCTCACAGTGCTCATTTTGCATTCATTTATACATACAACATATGGAAAAATGAAAACTATGGTCATTTTTTTTCTACTTTACTTTGATAGCCCTACTTGGCCTTGCGGTAACTTCTGGCTTCTTCTCCTGGCTACCTGAGGCTAATGCTGCGAGTATAGACAACATGACAGGAAAAATAATGCCATTTTCTCTCAGTGACAAATATAAACTCATCAAAGCTTACCATAAACTGCCAAAAACAAGCCAACGAGATGCAGCAGCGAAAATACAATAAGGTAGATTTTATGTACAGTATTGTACTATAGTGTATTTGAGTTGTGTTGTACAGTACTCAAAAGCATTTTAATCAGCTGTACTGTATTTTTGAAAGAGTCAATAATATGCAGTAAATAACAATGCAGTCAGTTCTATTACCTTATATTCATATAATAAATATACAAATGTTGATTAGATGGTAATCTGCCAGAGACATAAAGAAAAGGTTATAATGATTGTTCGCTTATAATGAGCAAGTTCACCCAGACAGACGTAATCACTATACAGTAAGTGGTTTTCACTGTATATGCTAATTTGCAGAATCTTTCCCCACAAATTAGCCCTTGCATTTTTTAGTATATGTTTATGTCCATGTTTGAAAATGTCATTTATATTATTTATATATGTTTATATAGTTTTATTCTATTCATTCTTCTTTTGCACTACAACCAATATTTTCTGCAACACAGAAGTAAGAATTGCAAGACATGCACTAATGGTAACCCTATATACCAGAGGTACTCAAACTGTGGAGTGCAGATGTAAAACGGGTACACGAGGACACAAGTACGGGCGAGTAACCCTATATACCAGAGGTACTCAAACTGTGGAGTGCAGATGTAAAACAGGTACACGAGGACACAAGTACAGGCGAGTACGCATATTGAGAAATGCGCACTGTGTTAACACTGATCACGAACACCCAAAACTACACATCACTTCATTCATATGATTCACAATAGTGCTCGGTACGCGGAAAATTAAAATTTTGCTTTTTGAAATTTTTTTTTCCAAATATTTTCAATTTGAGGTTGGTTGAATCTGTGGATATGGAGCCCACAGATATGGAGGGCCAACTGTATATAACAGGGGTTCCAGATGCAGACCAAACCGCAAGTATATTCGGACCCAGCCGACTAAATTCCCCCACAATAAATTTTGCAAAATTTCCTACAATACGACCGACTACCACTTTGCTACAAATATCCTGATCTTGGAGGCTAGTGATCTAAAGTCAATGTAAACTTGATCATAAAGTATTAAAAAAATCATCTTGCCCTCTACAGTTTTAGAACAAGAACATTATGTACAAATCAAAGTATTTTTAACTTTTGGCTTTCACTTTTGCATACTAACACTAAGTAACAATGGTGAACAAATTACTTCACTGATGGCTCACATTTTGAATATTTAAGCATGGTTAATTGCTCTCCATGTCATACATACTCAAACACACACACATATTATGTATTTTATATGCACATAGTTGTCTGTGAAGCTTGGGGTCTGAGCAAAGCCATTTATCCGCTCCAACTGGCTACCGCATTGCTTTTGATCAATGATGTGACAATGATGTAACAAAAGTCCCTTAGAGGAGCTACAGTCATGGCCAAAAGTTGACACAAATTTTATGATTTGCAAACTTTGCTGCTTCAGAATTTTTACATTTTTTTTACATGTTTCTATGGTATACTGAAGAACAATTATAATCATTTCATAAGAAGCTTTTTCAGCATGCTGGAAAAGGCACAGTTCATCGCCAAATTGCGCCTGGATCATTGGGAGAAGTTGCTCTTGGAGAACATTTTTATACCATTCTTTATTCATGGAGGTGTTTTTGGGCAGAATTGTGAGTGAGCACAACCCCTGGGATGAGTCGATTTTCCAGATGTACCAAAGAGTTGGAAGAGGCATCACCAGAGAAAATAGCTTTAGTCTTCTGATGTCCAGTCCTTGTATTTCAGGAAACTGGTGCAAATTTATTTTCTTTGATAAAGCCTCCTTCCAACACCTGCAAAAGCATGAGCGTGAAAGTCTAAAAGCATGAGTGTCACGTCAGATGCATGAGAGGTCATTTTTTGAGACAGTTGGCAACCCTGCTCTTGGTCATGAATGAATGACAAACCTGAAAGGGTGGACCAAGTTGGTGAGTGAGTGGGTGAATGAGAGACTTGTTTACTTTAGTACATCTGACCCCCAAGTGTTTTCTACAGCTGCCAGTTCCGTCCTTTGCTGCTACACAGTGCTATTGTTTGATTTTGGGGGGAATTTGTCTGGCAGGTTTAGATTTTCAACCATATAATGTTTTGGTGAAGCAGTAGTAGTTTCCACCAAATACTTTTTGACATCACATTCACAAGGTCAAATGTCATCTGCTTTCCCTCTTCCCTTTGCTTCCACTAAGTGGCATTGCTTCAATTTTGGGGTGATCAATCTCAAAAATTAATCAGTTCCAGGTTGGCACCCATTCAATGCCTCTGCAAAGTTTTAAAAAGATACATCAAAAACTTTTTGAGTTATCATAACTGAATGAAGTGTCAATACTGCCCTTTTTTGGGTATCAGTATGTAGTAATTTTGGGACGATCTGTCTCACTCTGGCTCGCCTTTTTTTGGGGGCGATTTGTCTCAAAATAATACCATTTCCGTTTCGGTGCCCATACAATGCCTCTGCAAAGTTTAAGAAAGATCCATCAATCAGTGTTTGAGTTATTGGCTCGCATACCAAAGCGTCTGCAGTGGCGACAGTGGCAGAGTGCTAAACCCATACGTATTCCCTAAAGGCTGTGGAACACAGTTAGGGAAACTCTAGAGCTGGACTTCCAAGAAAAAAAGTGCTGGCTATATTTTGATGTTAAATTTCTGTTGCTATGCCACTGTGCACTGATTAGCAAGAAATACACGCTGTATAAAAGTCTGGTCAAGGCATATTTTTTATGCAGTTTTATATAAATTATTAATGGAAAATCATTAATGGAAAATAATTAATCTTTTTGACTTCTTTCCTAAAAGGGCAATGCCATTAAATCCCTTAGAAAGAAATGGA